AGCCCATCTGTGTGGAACAGCCTTGGGGTCTTACCTATAAGTGCTTGCCCACCCAGAATTGTTGGTATATCACACTCATAAGCACTACTTTTTCTTTCAGAAATTGTCTAAAAGATACCTATTTCACTAAACTCTAAGCAAATCTCAAACAGACTTAGTTTTAAAATCCATGGCTTCTATTTTAGACCTGAGAAAGGCCTTGCACATCCAAATGCCTGGTTTCTGTACTATACCAGTTAGTCTAATAAAAAGTATTACCACTACCCACAGATCCTGCCCTTCCAAGAAAAAGTTAAATCAGTATCAGAATATGAAAAAGAAAACAGAACACAACACTATGCATTGTATGAATAAGTAACTTTGGTTTTACCAACTCCAAAAAAAAGCAAGATGAAGCAAAGAGCTCAGCCAGTGATACTGTAAAGACATTTTTAAGATTAAAAGTAAGAGCACACACCACCAAAAAGATCCTTCAAAAGGAAGGTCAACTCTATTTCGTTGTACTCATAACTCAAATATATGAACTGGAGAACAAATGGCTTTTGAAATACATTAAAAAACAAAACCCAAAAACACACAGTGAGGCTCTTTAAAAAGAAAATCAGGATTTCCAAAGAAATACCACTTACACCATCATGGTGTGCATGTTAATGTGAGAACACACAGCTGTTGGCAGAAGAATAGAGGTCTCAGAGATGCTGAGTTCTTATAAGCCTCCTGAAAATAGACAGATAGAGAAAATAAATCTATTACAGTTTCCTCTAAGAAAAAGGCTCCAGAGGGAGACCCACTGTGTTACTGGATACCAGAGAGTCCACACGGGGCTTTGGTGTCTAACGAGCTGTAAACAAACAAAGTCCCAAGAAAAGGCTTCATTAGTTCTGCTCCTTATAGAACTACTAGATGTGCTTTTTAATGCATTATTAATTCATTGAACTCATTGCCAAAAGATGGAAGCTAAGGACTTAATTCCAAAAAAATGAATTCAGGGAGAAAGCTAGCAACGTTTATGAAGTTAAGGGATACAAATTAAAGCCTAATTTTTAGGACCGTAAGAAAATCACAGGAGGTAAAGAAACAACCTTCTTAGTGACACTTTATTCTGCAGCATCTGGTGCCAACTCTCTAGAGAAACAATTTTGCAATATACAAACTCAATCCCAGAATCACGCCGCAAGAAGTAACTTACATGTCTCTCAGAAATTCTCCTATGTGATTTGAACCAATTCCTGCTCAGGCAAGCCCTCCGTCATAGGATACAAGTGTGAATGACAAGTTTTGAGACCTGGTCACTGAACTAGCGCTCATTTTTCATCCAGCATTCATTAAGAACTCTAAGTTTTGGAATTATAATAAATCAAAGTTGTCACATATCAGGTCACTGATATATCTTCATTCCACCCATAATCTCTTTTTCTCTTTCTAGTCCTTGTGATCACTTGGAGTTTGGGTTTACTCTATCCAGTGATTTTATTTTTTTTGGGGGGGCGGGGGGGGATAGCGTTTCATTCTGGAGAATCCACAACTTTTGAGATTACATTTTTTGTTTTAACTAGTCCCTGCTGAAGCTTGTGCAGCAAGCACAAAATACTGAGGCAATTCCCCTCATGTCAGTGAGCGCTTGGGGTTTCAGATTATATGTGGACCATGACAAGAAGATGCATCCTCAGATAAAAACAATATGCCCATGCTTTCTGCTCATTGAGAGGCAGTAATTTCAAGCACAGTTTGATGGATGGCCAAGTTCTGGCTTCATTCACACTAGTATGACTCAAAATCTCTTAGGGTGAACCCAGATCTTATCTCACTGAAAAATACACAAATTAAGCACAGAACTGAAGTACAAAAATTTCAATTATCCTGTTTTATCCCACATAAAAATAAAGGCTGCATGTGTTGGAAGACATCTCCTCACAATGGAAAGTATTTGAATAATGTAGAATTTCATTGCTTATTGCTCTTCCCTTTTTTCTTCTCTGAGGAATCCCTGATCATTTCCCTCATTGCTTCTATGTAACAGCACATTCTAGTAGATGAGAGATTTTAAAACAGGACTACTGCTTTGGAAACTGTGCTGCTAGCTAGCATTTTCTAACCCATTTCCCCCCCTCCGCCCCAAAATCACTTCTACATTGTGTTTGAGACAGACTAGTCACCCATAAGACTGAGTCCTTCAGAAACAATTTACCATGATAAAAATTGATCCACCACTGTCATATTCATTTTACTGGTGAAGCAGGAAATATTTCCTCATTCTACTATCTTTATTTTGCAAACCTGATAAAACAATTTCTGTCAAAATAACGCAGTGCTAAGAGTCCAAGCAAGACCAAGTGCAAGTCCCAGAATGCAAGAAGGAAAAGTGATTCTCCTATAGAACAGGTATGAAATGCTTGGTATTTAAATTCCAGATCCAGGAGGATTCAGCTTCTCCCCCTTACTTGGAACATTTGAAACAAAATAAAGCAAACAAACAAAACCTAAGCCAGCTTGCACATATTTTTATTTCTGGATAAATATTAAGAATTCAATGAGAAATCTGGAACACTAAGTAGGTATTGCCCTTGGCTGCACATTTCTATTTGTTTTGGGTTAATTCATAAGGAGGTCAAACCAATGGCGAACTAGATACACGCTGAAAGAGTAACACTCCTTGTAAAATGTGTATGACTTGCAAATCAAGTGATAATGTTCAGAGCTGCCACACAGAGTCAGGAAAGTTTCACACAACGTTGGGAAAAAATCAGAAATAGTCCAAACTCTGGCAGAGCCACCATATGGAGTTTACTGCAGTAACATAAGTTTTGGCCACTCGGCATAGCTCTGCTGCCAGCAATGATAGACTGAACTATTTCTTTACAAGATATATTCCTATAACCAAACAGTAACTCCTAACCAGAGAGGCTCAGATAGTTCATCTGAATCTTTATAGTAACAAAAGGAACAAAAGAAAAACATCACACTTCAAGAAACACTTTAGCATCCACAATGGTTTAAAAAAAAAAAAAAAGATTAATTTAGAGAATAAACTCCTAGCACATGGCATGGGATGCAGAAAGATACTCGAACCTATTTAGACAGTCATGGAATTATCTGTATCAGATTTCTCACTACATTATGAGCCATTGTTGTCAGTGTGGTAAAAAAAACCACATAGGCAGATACCTGTGAGACATCCTTCAACTTCCTTAAGCCTCTCAAATTATTGCGTGCCTAGTTGAAATAGAAAATAGGAAAGCAGAGGCAAGACAAGCTCCAAATGAAGGCTCATGACTGCCATGCCACCTGGCACGGCTATTGGCCACCTCACACTCTCCACGTTGCCTGCAGCCTACACCAATCTAAGGCCAGGTGAGAGAGAGACGATGGATCTAGCTGGGGTAGAGCTTACCAGACCACCCCACCGCCCATTTCTCCTCTGTGTTCCCCTCCCTTGTCCCTCAGCAGCAGCTGTAAGCCTTCTTGAGCTATCTGGGCACAACATTTGGTGAGGTAACGCTCCTACTAGCTACAGGACTTCACAGTGAAGTTGCAAAGGAGCTTGCACACATTCCCTTCTGCTAAAGAGGTTGAAACTACTTCATCCATCACAGCTGTTTTCACTGTGAACATCAGGTTAAGAGATACTTCAATTGCTTCCCATGTTTTTAAAATTGACAATTTTCACGCATTTAGCTATGATGACTTAATTTAGCTGCAGTATCTCAATGCTTTTTCTTAAACTTAAAAGTTCTTCAAAAGGAGATGTCAGGTGGTAACTGCTTACAATTCCACTGTAAATCCAGCTCCAGCTGCTTACCGCATGTTTCAAAATGCGGATGCCTCTGAAATCAGGTCCTATAAACCAAATGCAAACCCATCACAGCCCGTGCAGATACTGACTACAGTAAGTTTTGGATGAGACTTGACAGCTACGTCTTTTTATCCTGATTGTATACTCTTCTGCCAAATTATTTTCCTTTGAGTTGAACTGAAGATTGTTAATCTAATTCTACCTCAAGTTATCAGTTCAGTACCTGTGAAGAGCTGAAGTGTTCAAACCAGAAAAGAATGGGAAAAACTGCAGAATAAAATGCATTAGAAAGACTATCAATTTCCTGAGCCACTATTGACTTTCCCTGAGTATAAGATGAAATCTGGAAGGCTTAATTGATTTCTGCATCTGTCATTCTTACCTAAACGTCTAATTTAAAAATAATGGCGAAAACCACAGGATTTTACTTGCAAAGAAGGAATCAACACTGGTAGATTATTCTTGGGAGTACACTGACTTGTTTGCGTATGTAACACCTACAATCTGGAGTGCACACACCAAAGACATAATGCAACTAATCAAAAGCAGCAATGAACAAGATTGCTATCTGTCAAGGCTCCAGTCTGGATTATTGCATGCAGCCACAGGGCTTTTGTTACCTTTGGCTTCTCACATGTGCCTGTCCATGTGTTTGTAGAGCACTCGTCTACAGGAGATGCAATCTGGAATGATAGCTACTATCACAAATGCAAAACACTCTTAATTCCAAAAGGTGCCTCTTAAGGCCCCATGGTATTTAAGAAGAGAAAAAAGAAACAAAGACCATCTGTTAACTGCAAGCTAAATAACTATTATGTTATCTACACATAAGGAAAACCACCACAAACTGAACCTTCATACACAATTACATCCCGAAAACATCATTTACAGTGCCATCTTTATTACTTTCTCCTTTTTTTTTTTTAAACACTAAGCATTATAGAAATCTTCCTGTGAAACAGGATTTTGGTCTTTATTAACATTTTGTAGAAAAAACAAGACAAAGGCTTTAAAACAACCACTCTGGACATAAAAGTCTTAATATCAAATTTCTGACTAAATGCAAAAAGGAACTGAAGTACACCTTTAAACTAAATACGCAGGATGGTTGAGATATTTGTATGTTGATGCAGCTCTTCAGTAGAAGAAAAAAAGAAAACAAACAAATTAAAAACACCACTAATACAGGTCATTTAGCACACCTTACCTTGGAACCTGCCAACATAGTTTTCAGCATTTTTGTTCCTTTTCCAATACCAACCACTGCAAAGACAGAAGGAGAAATGCCACTTCAAAATCAGCTCTGCAGTTCCCTTACTCAGCACCGTTCATTGCTAAATATTATGCTGGTCAGAAATACAGCCTTTCATGCTCTGTTAGAATATACAGTCAACAATTATGAGAAAGTATCTCTGAAGTTCAAACAACACAAGACTAGTGAAAGGAAAAAAGTCTAAAGCAGAAGATAAATAAGCTTCATCTATTGTTAAAATGCTTTAATTCAATGCCTAGATTTATTTATCTTTTAATCACCAAAGAAATTGATAGTGCAATTAACACCGTCTCTGCTTTGATGAAAGCTATGGCTCACTAATAATGAATCTAGCCTTCACTGTAACTAAATAGCCCTTTTAAAGGCTGATAGTGACCAAGAGTAATACAGCCAAGACAGGATAATAAAATTGTTTATCAGGCTTACAGCAAGAAAGTAAAATAATCAAAAGGTCCAACTGCCTCTGTCAGAAATCTTTCATAATCAAACCCTCCTATTATTGTGTATGTGCAGACTACTGCCTTTTCAATCTTAAACCACTATTCTGCAAAACAACAATCAGTCAGCTTTTCATAAAAGAACCAGACAGAAAAAGACCTGTATTTGATATTTTATTTTAAAGCTGTTTACAACAAGGTGCTTTCCTTGAATATGCTTTTCTATTGATCTTCTCTACATACAGCAATCCAAAGAAACAATGACAACAGAAGGAAGATGCGAAACAATGAAACTGTAGAAGGAAATCAGTTTCATGTACAACTCATAGAATACATAACAGCTTATGTATTTGATTTTAATAAAAATCCAGGAGTTAAGGGAGCTTGCAGGAAATCAGCTTTGCGTTAACCAGGAACCAGTACTAAAAGCATCAAACCAGACAATGAACTTTTTCTTTTCTTTTTTTTTTTTTAAACAAGCACGTGTGCTCTACTGCTTCTCAGTCTTTGCATTCTGAGACTCATTAGACTACTTTTTATTCTCAATTACTTCTCCTCTTGTTCCTGAGGGTTTTTAGTCACACATGCCCTTGTGCTTGCTCTTCTGTGTACCTTCAGTTCAGCCTGTCCCTGACATTCACCAGATAGGAAAGAGCTGCAACACGGCTTAGAAAAGGAGATAAGCACACAGATCAAACTTTATAACCAAGCACTTCTCTTGCAATGTGGTGACATCACTGACACCAACATAACTGCTGAGCTGAAATTTGCTGAAAAGTATCAAGACATTCAACAGAATAATTTTAAAGAGACATTGAATGCTTTTGTGAACAAGACACTAACATTTTTCCCAATTAATCATCATTTTGTGTAGCACGTGTATTATTGAAAGGCAACATAAATGAAACTTGCCAGACTACAGAGTGTAACAAAGTTTAACTGAATTTTTTACTTTGAATTTGCCAGCCTTTAAACCACTTCTTGAATGGCATTTGCTACTTCGCTTAAATAATACCTACTTCCATTTCATAAGAATTACCATCACTCACTTTCCTCTGCCTTTTTAAAAATGGCTTAGATTCTCCTAGGACAGAGGACCTCCAATCTTCCTTATATAAGGTAGAGCGCGCATTATGGAGATGTGCTCATTCTCAAAAGATGTAATCACAGCTCACCTCAGAAACTTCACTGCTAGGTTTTAATTTTGATACTTTTTCATCTTTCCTTCTACTATGGAAGCATAGTTCGTAACTGCATATAGAAACAAGCCAAATATTTACAATTCCCGCTGTACAGCAAGAAACACTAAACCGGAACCACAGCTCTAGACAGATACTAAAAGAAGATACTCACTAAGACTTGACCTACAATTCCTTACTTCTTGTATCTAAAACATGAGACCTAACAGTGAGAAGAAGTTGACTTCCAGCTCCCACCACCTTCCAAATGCGATGGAAGCCACAGATGGGAACAGACAAAAGATTTTGCCTCTCAGACAGGGGCCGCTCCAGGCTCCTACCATGGCAGGGCCATCACATGCCACCTGGTCTGTAAGGTGCCTTCCACTCACATGCCATAGATCACTGATCTCTGTCTCCAAGGTCCTTCCTCATCTACATTTGGTGTCAGTAGGAAAAGAAACACAAAAGTATATTTTCTGATGAAAAGCACTACCCAGCTATTTGCAGTACACTTGGCACACTAAGCAAGACTCTGTATCAGCTAGTTCCCATGAACAGTTACAGATATGCAGTACCTAAAATTTAGAAAAGAGCAGTATAGATCGAGAAAGGTTATTATGCTACTGTCCACAAGGAAAGAAAGTTTTCTGTCCCACCACTCTATCCCAAAAAGCAGCACACATTTTCTGAATCACTTGTTTCTATTGTGTCCTCCCCTCTCTCCTCATCATCCTACCTGAACTGACAAGAAATCTGGGCACATAACCTTTCCCACTCCTCTCCAATTTTGTTCTTTCCAATCTAGCTACCTTTGATTTTTCTCTTTGTGTTTTGTATGGCAGTGGAATGAAAGATCCTGTGCCTTTTTTAATTGATCCATAGCATATTAAGGTGATGCATTTCTGTGTCTTTACCAAGCACATCAAGCTCAAGTACTTTTTGTCACACTACAGGAGCAGGCTTTGGAGACTGTTGGGTATCGGAGAACAGTAGGAGAAGCAATTAAGAAGCACGAGTGATTTTTCTTTTCCTACGGATCAATGCTGTTGACTTCCCACAATAAGCAGCAGCATGCTCAAAGGGAACATCTGTGTAAAAGGAAAATGTCCGCTTCAGTAATACACAAGGCATTCTCCAGTGAGCAGCCACACAGTAGAGGAAATTGGAACAAAACGAGTTTACATTTTGCAGTGTTCACAGGTGACAGAGGAAGACAATTACCAGCCTATAGGCCTCTACGAGCAACAGTCTCAGCAACCAACATCCCCTCAAAGCAAAGCTCTTCTTGAGAAGTCTTTACATCAAAACTCAGTGGATTTACTTCTAGTGTATGCTCACAGTTGTACCTGCTGATTTTCAGTACCAAAAAAGTATTGCTGTTATTTCTTCTAGCCAAGTAGAGCTACAAGGCTACGTTTTAAGCAAGCTGTAGTGTGCATGTTACTCATCAACAAAACAATTGGTGGCAATGTATGACATGGGAATAATCCAGCCCAATGGTCACACCCACAGCTGAGTTTTTCAACACCAGCAATTGACACATCCTGTTCCTTAATAAAACAAAGGAATTCAATAAATGGATTGCTATCAAAATTAAAAGACAAAATATCTTTGATGACTCTTCTGTATTGAGCAAGACAGGGCAGGAAATGAAAAATGTTTCTGTGCTGAGCCTCAAAAAAAGCAGCAGCTGAATTGCTCTTACACATCTTTCATTTGGCGAGTATTACAACCCAGAAGGCTCCCTCAAAATCTCAGAAAAGCATTAGTTTAAGAACAAATACTTTAGAAAATTATGATGACTATAAATCCCCAGATTAAGTAAATAAAGCTATCAGTTTAGTAATATGAGGTAATTTAGAATTCATTACACAATAGTCTGTATTTTCATGTAATAACCCACAAGTTATTTCAGCAGTTTGGTGGGGGTGTGTGGAAATATAGCTTTCTGTTAAGAAACACATTATATTCATGTAAAAGTACACACAGACCACTCTTCCACACTAATGTGTCCTTCCCCCAAAACCACAAAGCCTGCCATGTGTATCCCAAATTGCTCCTCCACCTCTGATTTCATGTAGGCATGAAAACGTTTCCTGAAATCAACTTTTGATGACTGCATTTATATTTTTCATTACCCAGAACTCCTGCTGCTGCACTGTCCAAAGTTCCACCATGTCCAATTTTCAAAACCTGGTTTCTTTTGTTCCCATTTGTTTGCACACCAGCTTCTGCGAATAGAAATTGAAAGGAAGCATTATAGTACGGCCTTAGAACGTAGGAAAAAATCCCACATATTTCCAGATTGCTAAAGGAGACAAAAATCAGTTATTTAAACTATGAATTAGTAGTGCAGAAATTGCTGTACTGAAGAAGACCAATGATTCATCTAGATCTATTCCCAACTTCAAACAATTTTAAGCTATTTTCACTTAGATTCTAATCAAATCTTATGTACCATTATAAAAAGATGTTCAGAAAAAACTACTGGAAAACCTGGCAGATAGTTCACTTGTGAAGTTTCATTAACAAAGCATGCAAGAACTAGCAGCAGAGTCCCCAAAATCATTATGCTATCATATTATCATATGATATGCTATAATTTATCATATTATAAATTTTATGCTACATAACCTGAGTAATTCTTCTTGTATTTACTTCCATGTAATGGGCCATGTTTATTGGCATGTGTGCAGCCCTATAGAAACTGTGCAATGAACTGAACTTGCTCCCTGCTGTCAGAGCATCTCAACCCACCATACTTTCTATGCAGCTGGAGTCCACTCCAGGACTTTTGCAGATTCCAATGCCCCTTATTTATTGGCATTAAAAATGACAAACGCTCTAAGCTCCCTTACCTATTCCTATTATCTCTTCACTATGCCTTTCACATCAGGGAATCAGATATGATCCAGCTAAATCTCTTCCATACAAAGCTGAATTGAAGTCAGTGCCTACACTACAGTTCACTAGAGTAAATCAGCCTAAATAAGCATTCACCTGTCCAAAAGCCCATATTCTCACTTAATCAGCAAGTGCCCAAAAGCCCATACTATATGACCAAGTCCCCATATCCATTATGAAGATAATCTAGACCACAGTCCCTCACACCTCTACAATTATCACATTTTTTTCCCCTATTCTCTGACACCCAGGCTTCCCTGTATTCAGACAAAAAACCAGTTTCTGCAGACTGTGCCCAAGACTTTCAAATTCCTTGAAACATTTTGTGGTTTTCATTCATTTGATGATTTTTTTTTTAATGGCAATAGGCAGTGGGAGTGAAGCAGAACATTCTGCCCGTGCTGTGCTGCAGCAATGCTGCTAACACCCATTCCGGGAGGTGGGTGCACGCTGTTCCTGGGACCATGCTCAACAGCTCTCCAAGCAAGCTGGGAACCCTGGCATTGTACACTGCAGGACTGGAGCTTTTTGCTGGGGCAAATCTCATCCCCATTCAAAACGAAGGGTCACATCATGCGGTAACAGATGCCTGCCCCAAACAAGCAAGTAGTGAATACGGCCTTACAGCTCACCATGCAACGTGACCAACACAGAGTCTTGCAGGGACCCAGCAGCTCCACATAGCGAGCCAGAACGTATCCAGGAACAGCTCCATTCCCCAATCTAGGCCATGCCATGGCTGTGAACTACCACCAAAAAAAATCAAACCTCAAGTTCTCCTTTAGTTTTCTGAACGCTGTGAAACAGGGTGCAGCAACCTGACAGGGGCTGTGGCTCCGGCATCCTAAGGAACGCACACGCTACCGCATGTCACCCGTGCCACGGCCATGCCGGGTAGGGCTTCCCAGGCCGAAAGGCTCGAGGGCTAAACACATGTTCGCTTCAGGCCGGGCTGC